CCTGACATAGAGAAAGCACATAGTACTAGTAAATGAAGGGTGTGTAGCGGTAACTTCATGGACTTTGCCGTAAGAGTCTTAAGACTTGTCTAATCGTGAAAGAATCACTGAAATAATTTCCACGGTGCAGGGACTGTGGGTTCTGTAGATGAACTGCAGCTGCCTGTGGCTGCCTCCCCCCCCCCCCCCCCACACACACACCCACGTATCTTGTTAACCTTTGTCCCACAGCATTGTTCTTTCACGACTTAGAATACATGGTGGAGCCATGGACAGTGCTGGCTGCTCAAAGAGGTGTACAAAATGGACCCTCTGACTCCCAGAGGTTGGGCTGGGTGCCATCTCAGTGTGGACCAGACTCTGGTCCCAGCGCCCTGCTCTGGGCGCCTGGCCTCCTGTCTTAGTCTCTAGGTCTTGCTGGAGGTGCTCAGGGCTCTCTCTGTGTCCCCAAATCCTCCTGATCGTCATAGGCAGGGGACAGGCACTTTTCCCTAGTATGGACCTGGGAAAAAAATACAGAGACAACAATGAACAGCCAGCTATAAAACAACTTCCATTTTTCCTAGAAAACAGTATTATTCCCTCTCTTTCCCCCCCCCCCCCCACCCCTACCATTAATCTCTCACTCTCTCTCTGTAAATGTGAAGTTTTCAGTTCATTGGCTTTTACAATTATGAATAAGAACATAAAACTTTAGTTAAGTTACCCAAATATGCAGTTTATTTTCGTATCTGGATCAGTTAAAGCAGTAGAGGTGGGAGGGTATATAGGGAGAAGTGGGAGTGGGAGAGGGAGTGGGTGAAGCTGGGACGGAGTGTAGGCCTGGACGGGGCAGGCCAAGGCGGAGGAAAGCAGAGAAAGGAGCAGGGAGTGCGAGACCTTCTAAGAGGAATCAACTTGGCTACTGAAATTTGTTCAGTGTCAGCTAACTAGCTCGTCAGTGTTCCAAAAATTAGGAGGTAACTGTCTTTCAACACGGGTTCCCAGTCTTGAAATTGCATGTAAAATCCTGCATGTATGTGTTTGTTTCCACAGAGGTCTTCAGGTTTGCAAATCTGTGACCCCAAGAAGAGTTGAGAATCCCTCTAAATCACATCTCCAAATGCCCTCCTGCCGAAGCTGAAACTGTTCAGTTGTATTTCTGTATATTTAACATTTTCCCTTTTTTTAAGTTGCAAATATTAGCATCTTTCTGTATTTGTTATATATGGCTAGGATCTAGTTAAATCTCTGATGGGTCTTGAAATGAACAAATGGCCTATCTTTCTGAATATTGCCATTTTTTTTTTCTTTTCAAATTTCAAACTAATTTGATTAATTGGTTGCTTTAGTGATGGTTAGCTTCTGCCATAACTCTGTGGATTTCTATTAATGTTTGCGTATTACATTAAAGTGTTAATATATCCAATAAGCTTTCAAAACTGTCAGAAATGTATTACTCAAGATTGTCACATCATTGATTCCTACAGAACTTTGCCTGGCTGGATTGATATATATTTTCTGTGGTAATCTCACTGGGTCTGTAGAGGAAGCAGATTTAGTGTCAGAGTATTAATGAACACTATTTGATTTATTCAACTGAATATGCAAGTACCCATTTTAACTTAGGAAATTAGAATTTGGAAGTCTTGTATATGAACATTTTCTAACTTTTCTTTGGGTTCCTATAGGAATAAGTTGGTCTGACATGAATTCTAAATTTTTTTCTACATATTGTTCTATTGAATTAGCTTTAGTTGTTTCTTTATCTGACAAAACATTATTTGGCTCAATAAAGTCTGTACTCAATAATTACAGCCCAGCCTAAGATGACTCACCTTAAACTTCAGTAACAGAGAATGAGAAATAGGGAGTGTAAAGGGTGACAGGTGAAGATTAAAAGTCTGGCTGGAAGAGTGAGGATGGGAGATTGAATGACAGGTACCAGGGAGTAGGGGGAGCTGTGTGGTTACCAAAGGTGAGGAGCATCGTTCTGCTGAGGGCTCTGTGTTCTAGTGGGAGGTGTTCGCCTCTCTGAATGGGTAGCCGAAGATGTTTACCTGGCTCCTTAGAAAAATGCATCCACGTCAGAAAGAAAAGTACATTTGTACCAACAATGCCTCTAACAGTTGTACCAGGTTGGCACATATATTCTTAAGAATCCATTGGCCATTTCAGAGGCATGTTTTTTTGGAAAAAGACATATATTTGAAATGAGATGGGTATAGGCAGTTTAGAAGTAAACAGGTCGAACGTTTTTTTTTTTTTTTAAAAGCACGAGTGAAGGGCTGGCCTTGAGTAGGGGAGCGGCGCCCTTCCTTTGTGAGGATCAACAGAAGAAGGGAGATGGATTTGTAGGGCTGGATGGGGGCACGTCAGCAACCAGCCCTCTGTGCTGGAGGGCTCCCCCATTTTCTTGGGTGTTGCTTTCTTCCCACTTGTCTCCCGCCTCTTCTCCTCAAACTTATTCTCTGTGTTCCATCTGGAACAGACCCGATTGCTCACAGCCGGGCCCCGGCCCCTCCTGTGTTTGTGCCTTTCACCTCTGGGCTTGGTATGCCCTGCAGCCCGCCCCCCACCCCCACCTTTGTATCATCCTCTTTAGTGCATGCTCTGAGAGTTGTGGTTTTCTCTTCAGTCCTTTATAATAATGCCTAGTTATCTGTGACAGTTTTTGGTCTACTAATAGTGCCCTTCCTGTTTTCTAATGTGGACATAGATTTGTTATTTCAAAATATACCTCGAATGTCATTTCTAGGAACTTAGGGCAGGAGGAAAAGGCTACAGCCGAGGCTCAGCCCTCAACTTAACCCAGTATCCAGCACCCGGGGCCCTGACTTTCATGGATGAGTAGGAAGCTAAGGAATCGGTGGATTTTGCATGTAGACCGAGGTTTGGAGGATTCTGGGTTTGTGAGAAGGAAGAGCAAATGCACTGAAATGGAACTGGGTGTAGTGTGTGCTTGAGGACCGGGAGGACCAAGTGGTTGGTCTCAGGAGGGTCAGGAGTACAGATGGTCATAGGTAAGGGAGAGACCAAGGAGACCTACAGCTTCATGGTGATAGCTCAGACGTGCTTTTTTTTGAAAAGTCTTGCTACCCTTGCATCCTCTGCACATTTCTAAAGGTAACCTTTTATTCAGTTCAGGTTTATACTTCTTGAGTTTCTCTTTTGTATGTACACACACTCAGTTATCCCTGATATATCACCATCTCTTATTATATCCATTTCTTATTGTTCCTTTCATAACAAGTAATATACTATTAATAATTTTCCATTCTTGATTATTTTTCCAGTCTATATATCCTGGAGAATATTCCTTATGAGTTCAGGCAGCATGGTACTTCTGTATCATTTTATCCAACTAGTCTCCAATGTTTGAGCATTTGGGTAGTTTTAGGTATTTTGCTCTTACAAAGAATGCTTCTGCAGGAAATGTTTAATGAGCAACTGCTCTGGACAAGCCATTGTCTTAGACTACTTGGTGATACGGTGAAGAATAAGGTGTATTTTCTGCCCTTCAAGTGCTTAGAGTCTAGTGGAGGGAAGTTTCCAGAAGTGGGCTCGAAGGGAAGTGGCCCATACCTAGTAGTTTAATTTAATCTAGATGTTTTCAGGAATTTTGAGTATCTAAATGCACATTCTCATAAAAGCAGGATGAGACAAATACATGGGAGTGCATATTATGCTGTAGTCCTGCTTCCAAGTAAAATAAAAAGAAACCTTTTAGGTGAAGGTAAATGCTCTTCAATAAATCAATGTCTAATATATTGAGCTACAAGTGCTAGGTTTCAAGAAATCATTTTAGTTTAACAGCACTTTTAAAAGGTAAAATATAGTTAGGGAGGTTTTTTTTTCTTACTAGTACTCTTCAGCCAAACTAGTGTGGTTTATTTATTTTATCTTTCTTTAACTTTATATCTAATTTTCATTCCTACATAAAAACACACACACAAGTATGGTTTTTTTTTGGGGGGGGGGGACTGGTTACCTTGGTTTTCAGAGAATTTATTTGATTTTGAAATACTGTTTGTAGAGTCACATATTTAATGTATAATACATCAAAATTCCTTTTTAGTTCCATTTATTTACTGCATGGCATGACAGAATATTTAATGTAGAAGCCTATTCTGTGTATGTTGGCATTCATTGCAAATTTTGTGTAGTGTGTATCCATACGTGATGATTACTGTTTTGATTTTAGGTTTGTGGTTACACCTAGACTGTATATATATTGACTCAGGGAATTTAGAAATTGAGCACATGGACTCTTTGGTTACAGTTTTCCAGCTGACTGTGAGCAGTATTTGGCCTCTCTCTTCTGAAGTCTCCTTCCTCATTATATAGGTTTGTCCTGCCCTTGTGACTGCCCCATTGCCTATTCCCACTTGTCATTCATTCTGCAGGGGTCACCCCCCCCCAATACTATAGGTTTTAAATTTCAGAGAAAGTTTCAAATAAATACTATCTGAACGACAGTTTTGTAAATCTTGTTAACTTGTTTCAAGGATAGCTTACATTTTATTTTAATTAGGCCAAAAGAAGAAACTTATGGAAAACTTAGAGATGATACAGTTCTTACTAATTGTGTAAGAAATGGTGATCTTTTGTTTCATCATGTTCCCCCCTAATTGCTTTCTCATAATTATTTTCATATTAGTATCTTGTTCTTATGGTGCTTAATTCTTTTTTTTTTAATATATATTTTATTGATTTTTTACAGAGAGGAAGGGAGAGGGATAGAGAGTTAGAAACATCGATGAGAGAAAACATTGATCAGCTGCCTCCTGCACACTCCCCACTGGGGATGTGCCCGCAACCAAGGTACATGCCCTTGACTGGAATCGAACCCGGGACCCTTCAGTCTGCAGGCCGACGCTCTATCCACCGAGCCAAACCGGTCAGGCAATGGTGCTTAATTCTTAATGGTTTGTGTAATTGTGAATAACCCTCGCATGCTACTTTGATTTCCATACGTACCATTTCAAAATAACATAAACCCTGTTTATTTTTCAGCTTTTAGAATCAATTTATGAGCAAGGAGTGAAAACTTCCTGGTGGTGTCAAAAAACAATATAAATATTAGGGACTTTCAACAGTATAGAAGTGAAGGAGTAGCTGATGGATGGTAGAAGGTGAGAAAGGTTCGGGAGAAGTTTAAAAGTACAAAGCATTATTTCAAGTTACAAAAGTAACCAGTGGAAGAACTTAAAGTAAAATAACTCTCATATATCGGGGAGGGGTAAGCAGAGTGGGGAGTAAAAAGATCAGCGAAATCCTCATCTTTCATGTGGGGATCGTTAGATATTTTTTAAGGTTGACAAATCAAGACGTGGAAGAATATGCATATTAATCCAGTTCTGGAAGTAATGACCATAGACCTGAGAGTAGAAACCTATGCAAGGGCTTGCTTCTGGGTTGGAGCAGGAAAGTATTGCTTCGCTTATAATGACTTGTCTATGCATTTGATATGTTACTGTGTACACAAATTACTTAAAAGTTGTAAATATGTATTTGTAATAGAAAAGTTGTAAGACAGAAAAGTACAGAGGAAAAAAAAACCAACCCAGGGAATAGGTTTAGCCATGAACTTACTCATAATTAACTTACCTGATTTTTATTAATTTCAGGCAAAGCACATCCAGTAAATTTTAACACGATGTCATCTCTAATGGAATATATTACAGCCGGGTTTAAAGGTCAAGTAATTTACTGGTGGTGAGTCCATTGCTGGTCAGATTGAGGAGCCAGCTGCCCTGAGATAATTCCCTCCATCTCTTACCCCACACCTTGAGCCAAGGGTGTTGGCACCTTTGAGTCCTGGTGACTTGACCCAGAGCCCCACTGGGGCTGTGTTGTTTGTGTTAAAGGCCCTCAGCTGGGGGAGACCACCTGTCACCCCTGTCAGAGGAGACCTCTGCAAAGTGTGTCCCAGCAGCACCACCAGCCCCTCCCTGGCCAGGGCCATGTGCCCTGCTTCCGCGATTGTCCCTGGCACCCTCACCGTGTCTCTCCAGCTAGCCGAAGAAAATCTCCCCTTCTTAGAGCCAGGATAGGACTGTTTTCAAAATCAACTTCCCTCGAAACAAAGGGCAAAACCAAATACACAGGAGAAAATTAGGCTGGAAATAGGTGAGGTTATGAGGCAGAGTTGTTTCTCTGCCTTTTAACCTTAGGCTGAGGAGGGTGCAGGTCTTCAGCACATTTTCCTTCCTCTTACCCATGGCAGACATGGCTAGTTGATCCCAGCACTCTCTTCTGCTGACTCAGCCTGGGACAGCTCAGCAGCACATGGAGCCATCCTAGCCAACCCCATTGGGCATGCGAGATGCATCCCCTCCTCTTGACATAACTGCATTCTGTCAACAAGTTGACCTCACAGACAGAACTTCCCACACACCTGTTTGCAGCCTTCTGTCGGTTCCGCCTCACTGGGGCGATTTGGTTGCTGTTGGCTAAGGCTGGGTCTGCCCTCATACCGCGGTGGCCTCCAGGGCAGCCACCATTCCTGTCATCTCAGAAACCTCCCCTCCTGTCCCCAACCCTTCTGTTGCTATTTTAAAGTTAGACCACCTATAGTTTACCAGACTTCTGACTGATACTCCACTCACTTGCCCATATTCTTTCCACCTGCTTCATCTAGAGTTAATTTCTCGTCCCATGGCCAAATTCAACAATAACATATATAGTAAAAAAGAAAAAAAAAGTCTCACAAGTCTTGCCGTGTTTCTGTGACAGACCATAGCTTGTTTATAATAGGCCACAGCTTGTTTATAAAAGCAGCTAACTCCTCCCAGCTGCTATTTTCTTGGTTTTTATCATTAAAAAATATTATCACGTTATGTGACTGCCCTCAACCAAACATATTGACGTTAGCGAGATCTGAGGTTTAACTTCAACCACCAAAAATAAATGCTTATGGTTTTTGAAAACTGTGAAGTGAACGCTTAAGTAAAGACTTCGGGGTTCTGTGTGTGTTGGTCTCACGGTGCTCAGTAACTTAAAATGGAAAAACAGGAACGTGGGCTTTCCCCTGGCTTATTTCTGTCATTAGATCAATATCACATTGTAGAATATTGCACTTCACTGTCATTTAACATGAGATGCACAGAGGGTTGTATTTCAGAGGCCTCTGCCTATGTTTGAATGTCCCAATCTTGTCTTCATTGCCTCATCAGTATGCCAGTAGGTGTCACTGTGTACATTAAATGGAAATGAAATATGTCACTAAGTGCATTTCCAAAATTAAGTAGCATTACAGGTGTTTTGGTTTTTTTTGTTTTGTTTTTTTTCAAAAAGAGATCTCCCCAAAGTAAGCAAGAATATTTTTACTCCTTCCTTTTTGTATTTAAAAATATTATCTTCGTAGGCTGTTTTAAGAAAACATGACCGTATGTCACTCTCCTGTCAGAACTTTATTGCTAGAAACTCTCTTCTGCAGGAAAAGGTGAGGATTTCTTCCTTCCAAATAGTCAGCTGTGACGATCTGAGAGTGTATGTAAAAATCTCCTAATAAGATGCATGCGTAAATCTGTGTGTGTGCAAGCACATACATATTTGCCACTTAAAGAGTTTCCTTTAGTAAGTAATGTTATCTCCATATTCATTAGGCTATTCTTCAGGTTTCTAAATTTTTCTGTGACAGAAAAATACTGTTGTTTACTGATCATGTTTCCAGTAATATTAGTGGGCCTTAATTGTTTAACTATCTGATCCTTTTTTTATGGGTTGACGCTTTTGCTCACCCCTTTTTAAAAAATGCAAGTATTTGGCTTTTTGTCTTCTATTATTTTGGGGAGCGGAGGGGTCAAGATGCTCACTTATTCAATTACAAGGAGCTTAGACGTTAAGATCAGCAGTGTCCTAGAATGCTTTCTTCAGTTTAGTAATACAAATCCAAATTGTCCAAATGTTCTGGAAAGCTGTGTGTGTGTGTGTGTGTGTGTGTGTGTGTGTGTGTGTGAAGATTGTGTTCTGTTATCTGAAATATTTGTGTGATTTTTCGGTTCAGAAGAAAGTTGATGTTACTCTCATGCAGAGTGGCTTAGAGTAGCTTCGCGGGGACACAGTGTACCTGTGTGCCCTGCAGAGTCAGTGCTAAACCATCTTTGACCTCACTTTTCCTGATTTACATGACAAAGTGGAGGTGTCTTCTATGTGATGGCAAGGGGGAAATTGGCTGCAAGATATAATGTGCAGTCAAAAACAGTGGAGCTTACTCGAATTTCCTTTCCATTTATAAGTTTTTAAATGAGTAATTAAAACCCCTGCAGGCAGTGTTGCAGTGCAGTGAGCCAGTGCCTGCATCTGAGGAACAGAGCCGTGGCCGGCTCACCAGGCTCCCAGTGTGTTTATGGGCCGAGCTCAGACTTTTAGTTCCCTGGCCTGGGAAAAGGGAGACAGTGTTGTTGTGAAGGTTAAAGATGGGTTTAGCTGAATCAATCACATTTCGCTTCTTAAAAGAAAAAGTGAAATCAAAGTCAATATGGAAAAATGTAAACATCTCTTAAATCTTGATGATGGGTAGATGTGTCTGTTTATACTGTTTCCTACCCAGAGACTCTGATCTAGTTGGTCTGGTCAGAGGTCTGGACACTGATATTTTTAAACTGTTCTGCAGGTCACAAATGTGCGCCCAGCATTGAGAACCATGGGTCTACAGGGCTTCTTGGAATTAAACAGGAAGCCAAATGTGATTGATGGGGCAGTTCTCGAATCAGAGTCCAAGAACTGGAATCAGAGGGCCTTGTAAGGGTTCCCCATCCGTTGGTGAGTGTGGGACAGTGGCTAGAGGCTCACAGTGTGTGTGCATTATCGGTGGTGGGCTGTCCTAGCTATTTTTCAGAGCTGCTTTTTCTTGGTGCCATTTCCCTTTGATTTGAAAACCCTTTGCTATTCATTCCCATTCCATTTCACCACCTGCTGGCAGCCTCCAGGGTGAGACCTCTGCCTTGACCGAAAGAGGCCGCGGGCTCTGCTTTTGCACTGCTGTGGGTTTCAGCATCCCCTGGCTGGGCGTCCTGGTGACCTTGGAGCTGGAGTAGTAAACCCCTTGCTGGCAGGGTTCTGGCAACAGCTGTTCTAAGGGAGGCTTGCTGTGGGCCGTAGCAACAGTAGCCTGAATGAACTTACTTCTCTTGCTATCGTGAGGTCAATGGAAATTCAGTCTATGAACTAGAAACTGTGTATAAATTTCAGTTCTTTACAACCATGTGGAAATGGGCATCGTGTGGTATTAGAAAGTGTAACTGGAGAAAGATAAAATCTTACCTGTCAAAGACCCAAGAGCCATCATTTTATTCCTTTACTCATATAAGTATTGCTCCTTTTTGAGAGGAGAAGTGGCCTACATATTTTAAAAGGACAAACTTTGCTAGTCTAAAGAGGTAATTCATATTACCTAGGTTTTGGATTTCTTGAAATATAACTTGTTTTCTTCACATCTAGCAAGTATTTATTATGTTCCTGCTTTATGCCTTATACTAGGGGTGGCACTAAGGAAAATTTTTACCAAAAATTATAAAATGCAGTTTCTTTCCCGTAGGAATTTTTAGGCTATTTGAAGACATTGCAGTTCCGACAGTGAAAACTACCGTATGGTTGGAAACAAAATAAAGAGATACTAAGTGGTCTTAGCATGTGGGGAAGACCAGTCTGGTCCAGAGGGGCTGTCATGCGTAGATATGTAGGCGTCCCAGCCCCACTACTGCCCCAGTCCCGGGCTTGTCGCTGCTCTGCTGTCTTTGTCCCACACTCTACTCTAGTGTGAGGTCTGGCCTCTCACTCTTTTGGCTTTGTCTCCTTCCATTGCCCATTGGACTTCACAGATTTGTCTTCCAAGATCTGACCTTCCCTTCTCTCCCTGGGAGTGTCTTGTACACTTGTTCCTGTTGTACCTGACCTTGGCCTCCGGAGGTAACACAGTGCCCAGTTAATGCCTGCTCCCAGGACCCTCCGCCACATGTGTGGCTCATTCGGAACCACTGCCTCGTCTTGCTTCTTACTGGGGGTGTCTGCATCCAGATCTCATAGGTACCTCAGTTTCAGATGTATCTTTGAATTCAGGCAACACCATCTACCCAGGTTCCCAATCTACACTAATAATAGACAAATATGTAAATTGACCATCCCTTCATGACATCCACAGCCAATTAGGAGTGAGTATGCAAATTAACCCAACAAAGATGGCGGGCCTGTTGGCAGTGCGCACATGCGCAAGCGCCGAGTGCCTGGGTCCCAGGGATGCCACTGGAGTGGGGGTGGCTGAAGTTCTTAGTACTTTTCGTTTCTGCAGCCCTTGGACTGGAAGTGGAAGCCCAGAGCACGGGGAGCACCGGGAATGCTGGGAATCGTAGTTCTGGTGGCAGACGCGTTGCAGGATCTCCTAGACCAGTGATGGCGAACCTTTTGAGCTCGGCGTGCGATTCATAACAGTAGCAACATTACAGTTATGAAGTAGCAACAAAAATAATTTTATGGTTGGGTCACAACATGAGGAACTGTATTTAAAGGGCCAGAAGGTTGAGAACCACTGCACTAGAGCAAAGTGAGCCTGGAGCAAGTTACTGTTGTGGGTGGGAGATGGAGGGAAAGCAAAGGTGAGAGACATAAGTAAAGTCAGAGTGTCAAGGAAAAATTAAAGGGAAGATATCCTGCAACTTCTAGGAAATCTCCACCAATGGAGCAAAGAAAAAACAACAGACTTCTACTATTCTGTGAGCACAAAACCAAACTGGGTTGGGGGTCTCAGGCAATTCGCTCATATGATTACAAAGACAGACAGAAACTCCCGGATTAGAGAGGGCTCCCCTGAGGGCTCCCAGATTGGAGAGGGTGCAGGTCGGGCTGAGGGATCCACCCCCCGTGCATGAATCTTCGTGCACCGGGCCCCTAGTATAAAACATAAGGATAATCATTGTCGCCTCCTTATCTGGGCATTTGACTATTTAGCAAAAACATCTGTTGTCCATACCCCACTCTCCTCCACGTTTCCAGGTACTCATGGTGGCAGTGCCACCTCACTCTTCTGCAGTAGGCTCTCCTTTTCTTCTGAATATTTCTGCTGCCTCTTAGCAGACTATAGTCCGAAGGTCAGACTTGTAGGCATGGTTAAGAAAAGCCCTGTCTGCCTCTCTGACCTCCTCTCAACCTGTCCCCCCTCCCTTTATCTCCCCTTCCCCAGGACTCAGCTGAGTTTCAACACATATCAGTTCATTAATGCTTTGCACTTATTGTCTCTTAGTCCTGGAGCAGGCTCACCCTCTGGGACCATGTCTGCCTTATAAACAGAGAACCCAGTACCAGCTCAGAAACTTGCTTCTCTGTGAATCATTGCCTACCTGCCCCAGATGGAGTTGCACTCACATCTGCACCTTCCCCGTACTGTATACAGCATGCTTAAAGCCTATTTATGTCTCTTATGCCAACTTTGCATTGTGTTATAATGATCAGTGAGTGAGTCTGTCTCCCCAACTGGTCTGTGAGCTCCGACCTGCAGATGATGCTTTGTGCATCAGTTATCCTGTGTGTGAGGTACCTGCACAGCATCAGTTCATCTTTGTTGGATGAAAGAAAGGCCATGTTGAATGGAGTTTTAAAACCTGGGAGCTTTTGGCCATGTTTATAATGTTGAGTTTTGTTTCTTACTTATCCTTAAATTTTGGTTTACCGTAGTGTATCTGCCCCAGGCACCTTCAATTTAAAGCATAATTACTCTGAGAAGAGTGTGTTTCTTAATTTTTACACTTTAAAAAATGTTTTATTGATTTTAGAGAGAGAGGAAAGAAGAGGGAGAGAGAAGGAGAGAAACACTGATGTGAGAGGGAAACACTGATCAGCTGCCTCCTGCGTGCAGCCCGACCGGAGCCTGAACCAGCAACCCGGTTATGTGCCACGACCAGGAATCGAACTGGCAACCTCTCAGTGCATGGGACCACGCTCCAAACAACTGAGCCACACAGGCCAGGACTAAATTTTTACATTTTTGATAACCTCCTGCTCTGCCTCATTTATGATGACGCTCCATGTGTTGGACTACTGTTTCTAATTAAAATTCTCCATTCACTATGCAGAGATATTCTGGTTCTCTTCCTTTCCTAGGTATACAGTATGTCCCAGTAAGTACATTAAAAGATATATTTGTAGGATTCATATTACAGTTCAAAGCATAAGTGTATGAATGTTGTGTGTAGTTGGTCCTACCAAGAGTGAATGGCACGGTAGGGAAAGGAGACCTTAGGTTTGTGTTTTGTAGCTCGTATGAATTCTTGGATTATGTGGGTTAAGTTTAACGTAGCTTCTCTTGCTGTGTTAAATGAGAATGATAGGTTGTTGAAGTAAAGGAATGCCTATGCTTTTTCTTTAAAAAAGTATAATATTTAGTTTAGGAGTGTTTTAAATATATATTTTTATTGATTTCAGAGAGGAAGGGAGAGGGAGAGAGAGATAGAAACATCAATGATGAGAGAGAGTCATTGATTGGTTGCCTCCTGCACACCCCCTACTGGGGATCGCTGATAACCTAGGCATGTGCTCTGACTGGGAATCAAACCTGGGACCCTTCAGTCCACAGGCCGATGCTCTATCCACTGAGCCAAACCAGATATGGCAAATTTTTTTGAGGTAAATGTCCAAGTACCTTTTTTTTTATTTTAACAAATTTAGAATTATATGGTCCTAGGTTTTAAAAAATCATCGCATAGTTACAGCTTCTGTCCATATTTTTAGTCTTTAGGTTATTAGTAGTCGACATCATCACAGATAAGTTGGCTTCATGTGTTTAATCCTGTTCAACATGTTGTTTAAAGTGATCTCTGTGACCAAACACAGCTAAGAAAGTCAAATGGCTCTCATTGCAATACATCTGAGAGTAATTTCTCTTTTGACTTTGACTTAACCTCCATGGAGTTTGCTTGGGGAAAAAAATGCCACTGCTTTAGGTCCAAGGCCCAAGTGGACGATGACAGCCTGTTGCTCTGGTCATGTTTGGAGTGGCCCGCAGGCTTTGACCCACGCATGTCACAGTCGGCTTGTAGGGGCCTGGCCGGGGTGTTGGCTCCAGCAGTCTTGTTAAGTAAGTGCGTAAGAATGTGGGTGTTTTAGAAAAGTTCTTCTAAGTCCTGAATGTCCTCAGTGGAAGTGTATGCTAGAGCATGTTGTGTATTTATAATCCACAATCCTCTGTGTAGATGCAAAACAGGGCTAACATAGGCATATAAGGGGTTGTTTTGTTATTGTTATTAGACAAGGATCCCGATTTCCTCCTAAGGCTATCAGCAAGGGGTGGGGAGTGGAGGGAGGTGAGGGACTGGGAGGTGGGTGTGGGAGGGTTAGTTCCTAATAGATGGTTTGTTCTGTCTGTACACACGAGAGGTCCCACCCCCATGAGAAGTGGCTGTGCCTCTAGAGCAGTGGTTCTCAACCTTCCTAATGCCGCGACCCTTTAATACAGTTCCTCATGTTGTGGTGACCCCCAATTTCATTGTTACATAATTAAAATTGAACATATAACAGCTGAGTCAGGTGAAAGATAGGTATATAAAAACAAATACACGTAAAACAATGAACCACAAGCAAAGAGAAAGAGCTCTAGGCCACAGAACCTGCATGGGGTGGGGGTGGGGTGCCTCTGCATTCTTAGGGGGACCACAAAACTTATTCAACCTGACATAGTTTTGAAAGTAAAAGGTGGTGGCACTGATCCCTGCTCTGGGATAACGGGGACACCTGGGCTGTCTGGGCGCAGCGAGGGTGCATGGTTACTCTCTCCCCTCTTCGCCCCGCACCGGCCACCTGGCTCGCTCTGGGTTCCATCACATGTCCCTGTCTATTGTCTGTCATTGTGCACCTTACAAGGTTAGAGTTAACAGCATCACTGGAACCCCAGTGTTCAGTGTAGTACCTACTATTAAAGTGTGGCAAGGTCTCCATTAAGCACTGGAGACAGAATAACAGCTGAGTCAGGTGAAAGATAGGTATATAAAAACAAATACACGTAAAACAATGAACCACAAGCAAAGAGAAAGAGCTCTAGGCCACAGAACCTGCATGGGGTGGGGGTGGGGTGCCTCTGCATTCTTAGGGGGACCACAAAACTTATTCAATCTGACATAGTTTTGAAAGTAAAAGGTGGTGGCACTGATCCCTGCTCTGGGATAACGGGGACACCTGGGCTGTCTGGGCACAGCGAGGGTGCATGGTCAGTCTCTCCACTCGTTGCCCCGTACCGACCACCTGGGTTCCATCACACGTCCCTGTCTATTGTCTGTCATTGTGCACCTTACAAGGTTAGAGTTAACAGCATCACTGGAACCCCAGTGTTTTTCCTTGAATCTACCTGCCTGCGTGCACTGGCCCAAAGGAATGCATGAGCAGGAGTTTGTAGTTTAGGAAGAAAAAAGAAGTTTAATATTGAATCAGCCAATTCAGAGACTGAGAGATTATGCTTTTTTAAAAAAACACACCCAACACCCCGATGGTGTGTAGGTTACAGGTTATGTAAGGCAAAATCACATGGGGTGGGAGGGTCAGGGTAGTGCCGGGAGCTGATTGGTTGGAGGTGAGGTAAGGTGGTGAATTGAATCATTTCTTCAGATCTTGAGGACAGCTCTTATGTCTTCTCCAGCGTTCCTCTGCCTGGTTTCGTGGGAAAGTAGCCAGGGGTGGGTCCACCTTAGGGTTCAGGAACTGAATCTTAACTTAGGTCAAGATGTTACCTTTCGCCTGCCAGAGGTCTGGACCTTGTGACCATTAGTTAGTCAAGCCCAGGTTACTGTCTTCTGCTGCCCTGGGGCTTGCTGATTATTGGGGGGAAAGGCTAGGTCTCTGAGGGGTATGTATATAGAGAGAGATGATTTATAGAGAGTGGTAGGATTGAAAATGAAATTTAATCCCAAGTTTCAACAGTTGCTGTGTGCCTTATTATTAATTGTGAGTGCAGCAGCCGTCTGATTTGAGTCCATTTAGGCATGGGGCACCAAGCGTGTGAAACACAAAGTATTTGGAAAATAACATGTGGCCTGTGGTTTAGAAGCACTGAGTTTACAAGTGCCCTGAGGCATACGTTTTGGTCTGGGGGATTGAAAAAGATTTTATCCCAGTGACCTCAAGATGCAAAAAAAGAAGCTGACGCCTTTTGTATGGTGTGATTTGTGAAATGGCGAAACAGTATTTCTTGAAAAATCTAACATGTTTGAAGTAAACACAGTTAACACCGTTCTGCTTTTCTGTTACTTCTTTTCATTATGCACACTGGTGCTGTAAGTCCAGTCAGAAACTACCCCAGGACAGCCTTGTTCAGCCTGCGTCACCACCCCAGGAGGCCTGCCCA